CTGGTGATGGTAATAATGATGCTCCACCACACACACACAGTAGACTGGTGATGGTAATAATGATGCTCCACCACACACACAGTAGACTGGTGATGGTAATAATGATGCTCCACCACACACACAGTAGACTGGTGATGGTAATAATGATGCTCCACCAATACAATATATGGTAAACTATCAGCCTCAGGAAGGACTGACATAAAACATTATTAAAAACTAAATTAACTTTTTCTTACATTAATGATAATATTTGTTTCTCTTTCCAGAACAAAGGAGACGAGAAGAGCCTTCAAGGTAACCATCGGTAGTGTCCTGTTTTACTGATGTTTGTGTACGGTTCTTGTGTGTGTGTGTGTGTTGCTGTCATTAATAACCTCTGGTGTTATGGTCTTTCTTCAACAGATAATTCAGACCTGATGCTGTTAGCGGGAGCAGACTTTATAAATGCCTAGTGGTTGCCGGTGTCTAGCGCGACCTCCTACATCATCAGTTGGACTCCCGGTGATAACGGCGGGACTCACACTGTGGACGGTGGTGACAACATTAACTATACCATCACAGGTCTTCAGCCGTGTACTGACTACACTGTCACTGTCCAGCCGATGAGTGACAGCGGTAAAGTAGACCCGCCTCTTACAGCGACCACAACAACGACCACCCCTGGTAACACTCCCGAGTTCTTTACCGTTAATGATGTCTTACCATTTTCTTTAATTCTTCTCTTCAAAACTGGCTGTTAACATTCTCTTGTGTATTATATTATTGTTTTTGTTGGGAAGAAGACTTGTGAGTTTATAGATAACAACAGTGATTTATTAAAGCAAGAATATGAGACCGTGTAGTATGTTGACGCAGACACATAGTTGACACAGACACATAGTTGACACAGACACATAGTTGACGCAGACACATAGTTGACGCAGACACATAGTTGATACAGACACATAGTTGACACTGACACATAGTTGACGCAGACACACTTAATACAGACACATAGTTGACATAGACACATAATAGACACAGACACTGTTGACATAGACACATAGTTGACACAGACACATCGTTGACACAGACACAGTTGACACAGACACATAGTTGACACAGACACATCGTTGACACAGACACATAGTTGACACAGACACATAGTTTACACAGACACATATACAGGGTAGTTTACACAGACCCATATATTATAGTCAACCCAGACACATATTATAGTTGACACAGACACATATTACAGTTAACACAGACACATATTATAGTTGACACAGACACATATTATAGTTGACGCAGACACATATATTATAGTTAACCCAGACACATATTATAGTTAACCCAGACACATATATTACAGTTGACACAGACACATATATTATAGTTAACCCAGACACATATATTATAGTTGACACAGACAGTTCCATAGTCAGTAACAGGAGCACAATATAGTGAACAAGTTTGCTGGACCACATTTACTGCATATAATATAAAAAAATATCATTAGATGTTACTCTTAGCTATAAATATTGTGAAGACTTCAATAGAATTATAACATCATAATTATGAAAAATAAAAATATTAAACCAGATTAATGTCAGCCATATATAACTCACTGTTGTCCATCATCCCGCCAGACCCTGATCCCTACCTCCAGGACGTTGTGGCGGCCAAGGTGATGGATCAGTCCTCTCAGCTGTTCGTGAATTGGACCGCGGCACAAGGCGTCGGTAACTGTGTCGTCACCTACAGGATCACCTGGAGCCCCGTCAGTGAGGGTGATGGTAGTGGTACATCTTACACCACCTCGCTGAGCCACACCATCACCCAGCTGGAGGCCTGGACCACCTACCACGTGTGTGTGGCCGCCAGTACTGATGAAGAGTACACTCCAGACAAATGTACCAACGGAAGGACAGACGAGGACAGTGAGTAGTGGATGACGATGATGGTGATGATGGTGATGATGATGATGGTGATGATGATGATGATGGTGATGATGATGATGATGATAGTGTTAGTTGATGATGGTGATGATGGATGATGATGATAGTGTTACTTGATGATGATGATGATGATAATAGTGTTAGTTGATGATGATGATGATGATGATGATGATAGTGTTAGTTGATGATGGTGATGATGGATGATGATGATAGTGTTAGTTGATGATGGTGATGATGATAGTGTTACTTGATGATGATGATGATGATGATAGTGTTAGTTGATGATGATGATAGTGTTGGATGATGATGATGATGATGATAGTGTTGGTTGATGAAGTTGATAGTGATGGCTGATGATGATGATGATGATGGTTGATGATGATGATGATAATTAAAATGTTGGTTGACGATGATGATGATGGTGATGATGATTATAATGATGATATTATGATGATGATGATGCATGACACGTGGCGGTGATGCTGAAAGTGAATTGCATGCAAAATAACAATAATAATAATAATAATAATAATAATAATAATAATAATAATAATAATAATAATAATAATGATAATAATAATAATAAAATATATATAATAATAATAATAATAATAATAATAATAATAATAATAATAATAATAATAATAATAATAATGATAATAATAATAATAATAATAGTAATAATAATAATAGTAATAATGAAGTCACGTAATTCAGAAAACAAAAAATGCAAAAAAATGAAGTTTATGTTGCGTGTTGTGAGAAGGTTAAGTAACATGATTCACTGTCTGGGTGACGTGTTGTGAGAAGGTTAAGTAACATGATACACTGTGAGAAGGTTAAAATAGCATGATACACCTGCCTGCGTATTGTGAAAAGGTTAAGTAACATGATTCACTGTCTACGCGTTGACGTGTTGCGAGAAGGTTAAGTAACGCGATACACTGCTTGGGTGACATGTTGTGAGAAGGTTAAGTAACATGATACACTGCCTGGGTGACGTGTTGTGAGAAGGTTAAGTAACATGATACACTGCCTGGGTGACGTGTTGTGAGAAGGTTAAGTAACATGATGCACTGCTCGGGTGACGTGTTGTGAAGGTTAAATAACACTGATGCACTGCCTGGAGTGACGTGTTGTGAGAAGGGTTAAGTAACAGATACTGCCCTAGGTGACGTGTTGTGAGAAGGTTAAGTAACATGATACACTGCCTAGGTGATGTGTTGTGAGAAGGTTAAGTAACGCGATGCACTGCCTGCGTGACGTGTTGTGAAAGGTTAAGTAACATGATGATACACTGCCTGGAGTGACGTGTTTGTATTAAATATTGCTTAGGTGACGTGTTGTGAGAGGGATTAGTAACATGATACTGCCTGGGTGACGTGTTGTGAGAAGGATAAGTAACATGATACACTGCCTGGGTGACGTGTTGTGAGAAGGTTAAGTAACAAGATACACTGCCTAGGTGACGTGTCGTGAGAAGGTTAAGTAACATGATTCACTGCCTGGGTGACGTGTTGTGAGAAGGTTAAGTAACATGATACACTGCCTGGGTGACGTGTTGTGAGAAGGTTAAGTAACATGATACACTGCCTGGGTGACGTGTTGTGAGAAGGCTAAGTAACATGATACACTGTCTGGAGTAACTATTGCCTGTTTTAACGAAGAGAAGGGCACATATTAGGTTTGGAAGGACAGAGGCGGGATGTATGAAGGAACAGGGGATTGGTTTAGGACGAGGTAAAGGTGGAGAGGGGATGAAGGATACGAGGAGAATGACCGCGTCTGCACTCAATCAGATATGCTGGAGTGTAATATTAAAAACAACTAATGTACTGGAGAGGTTAGTTTTAGTTCTCATACCTTTGTCATCTATCTTGCTTATAATGCGTATTTACTGCTGCCATTCTGCTGAACCTTCGCCTACTGTGTGTTTTTCTGTCATATAAACTCAGTCAATTAAAAGTTTCAATCGTCCTGTTTGACATATCTTCAGTCTCTGTCTGGGGACGACGTCTTTGACAACTACACCTGTGTGACTTTTCGCTGTGTTATTTAGTAGTTAACGTAATACATGTTCCGTATAGTAAGAGGAGTATACATTAACCATTTTATCTTAGTTATTGTTACTTTACATTACACAGGAAAAACTGACGAAATTATATTTAGTTGTCTGAAGATTCTGTTGTATGAAGTTCTTAGAATACAAATCTCTCTCTCTCTCTCTCTCTCTCTCTCTCTCTCTCTCTCTCTCTCTCTCTCTCTCTCTCTCTCTCTCTCTCAAAATATCAAAATTAAAAATAAATTGAAAAGTTCCGTATATCTGAAATTCACTGTTTTATTATGTTTGTACATTTATCCTCTGTCTACATGTTAGGACAACGTGTCATTTCAGTGACACTTTCATCAGTCATTACTTTACCTTTGTAGTTTATTTTCGAACACGAAATTGATCTTGATTTCCTGTATCAGAATTTTTCGTGGTGAAAAATATTGTATCCAAGAAAGTTTCTGATACAGGAAATTGTTTCGTATTTCTATCTCTTCCGTCCCAGGCGGGAATATATTATTCAGAGGAAAATCTGCATATTTGCCACAACTCTGGACAAAAATCTGAAAATCGGTACACATGTACCTGTACCTGATGGTAATTGAAAGTTTATGGTCCTAAAGGTCAAAGGTTTCAATGTTACTGTTATGGTCAATCAGGGTATCAAGGTCAGATGCTAAACACAGCCCTAAAACAACTATCCGAAGGTCTATAAGGCTGGTTTTGATGTCTAAATGATCTTTGTAATAAAGCAGAACCTCACTTGAAGGTATATACAACACAGTAGGTCACCTGGTCATACACACGGGGTCATAAGATCAACCACGTGACCGCTAGGTCCGCTTACTCTTGGTCGGGCATTAGTCAAGAACTATTATGTGTGACCTATCATGTTAATCGTCATATCGAGACAAATATGATTATTGTGTTGCCAATGACCGAAAATGAACAATGTCCTTGAGTAATGACCAAACTCATGGTAAGCATTTGTTGTGTTGTTGTTGCCAAGAAACAATATGGGGGAACATACATATAAAAATATGTTTGTATTGTTTTTATTGAACTTGGCAATGCACAAATGATGCATGTTACCGTCGAATCATCTCTTGATCCTGGACATATAATGCATTAATACTGCCATAACTAATCAGGTTTGTTCCACAGCTTACTGACATCATTACCACAAACGCTGAAAAATATTAAGAATTTATAACACATATCATGACACAATTTATAGAAAATTCTCAAACCAAACACAAAGAGTTAGCTCTAAGCGTTCATGAGGTATTGGTCCTCATTTACTGCAGGGCCAAGTGCACAAACGAGTGCAGGGGAGTGCAGACTTCTTGCAGGTGCAGGAACTGGATGCTATTCTTACATCAACACTGCTGAGATGGTGCAAGAGGTGGTCGGGATATCCAGCAGGGGTTCCATGATGAGGTGTCTGAGTACTACTTCCACCCGTAATCTTCTGTTGATGGCATCTTCAGTAGGGGAGTGTCACTTCTGGCCCAGATGAAGGCGAGGTATAGGGCTCTGTTCGAAGACAGGAGAAGAACCCCTGCCGCTGGTGGGAGGCACTCCACTCTTTGAGACTTGTGGCAGAACAGTGTTTCCTTTAGGAGATTGACTTGTTCCAGGTCGGAAGCTTTGTTAAACAGGCGGCATGTGAACCTTTGAAAAGTTCCCAGACTATTGCGTCTGTGGTTATGTGTTGTTTCTCTGAGAGAAAGTTTGTAGAATCAAATCTTCCGATAATTCTGATTAAAGCTTCACTCAATTTGTCATAATTTGGTGTACTTGGATGGGTGAGAAATATGTACCAAGATGATTCCACTCAGACTTTTTTCTCAGAGTTATACACCAGCGGCTGTGTGAGAACATAAACAACTAAACGTGTGTAACGACCACCAACACTCCACAGGCCAGTCACACCCTCAGGCCTGGGGTCGAGGGTAACAGTGTGGTTCTTGTGTCTTCGTCTTAATACTCTGGTCTTTATTCAACTGCCGCAATACAGATTTGTACTCGTGTTCTGCTCTCCGTAGATGTTGGAGCCGTGTACAGTATACCTAGGTGACAGGGCATAGGTCTACATACACCCAGGTCGTGTTTTGTGCGTGTGTTTCTTTGACGTCACCCCGGATCTTGTCAACACACCTTGCTTTATAGTCTTAGATGGATCGACTGGAGACTTTGTGGGGTATGAATATAACCAGTCAGGTGTGTACTTGTATTTTTGTGGGTTACAAGGTTAGGATCACTGTTGGTAATAATGTCTAGCCGAGAGTCGTTGTAATGAGACAAAACTCACAAGAAGAAGATTACATATAGGTAGAATATTGATAGTATAAGAGTATAAAGAGAGGAAGACTTTGGTAGCGTGGCCGTGATAGTTATTTACACTGTCAGTACACTTATCGTATCTTATACGTCAATACACTTCTATTACGTCTTAAGGGCGACTTCTCAAACACTGCTTCGTTACAACTCTTTATTAATTAACGACATGACATGGACCCATTAATAACACCTTCTATTGAAGTTACTAGGACATTATATTTACGTTACTAGGACATCATATTACGTTACTAGACACTCTGATTCTCGGACACGAACATGAAATGAATACACTTCCCACGTAAGTAACTCATCCCACGGAAAGCTCTGACAAACACTCACGTGACCTAGGGGAGGCCTAGCAGGTAGTCTGCTTAGCGGGACCACTGGTGTCGGGAGGGCGCCTGCTTAGCTGGGACACCGGAGGGAAGTCTCGGTCCTGACCGGAGGCGGCTTGCCTCCGGCCCTGACTTCGCTGGAGCAGCACTAGTGGTGTCGTAGCTGGCCACCTTGTTACAAGACAACTGCTTCTCTGCGAATCCTGGAGGGAGGACCAGGACGTCCTATATATTGGGAAGCGAGCCGTCAGGTT